CTAATTTATGACAGTGCATATTCAGTAAAGCCCTGGTTGCCAAGGTGAAGCCCATTCTGCAGGTTACTCTATTGGCTGAAATTTGGTCACATGTGTTTAGGGCCTGGTGCCCAGCTGAGACAGCACGCCACATGACCACAAACAATAAAGGTTGGCGTGTGTTTGCATTTGGCTTCACTTTGTTGTTAATCTTAAGGTACAACCTCTCCTTGGGCTGTCATATGGAAAGTGGTTCAGCTTCAAAGCCCATAGGTGAAAGGGCAGTCTTGGATAAAGGCTCCTTTTGGGCTTTTGAATAAAGTAGTATAATGGTTCGGGTGATAGAAACTTAAGTTATCGCCCTATTGTTGGAATTGTCTTTTCCATATTGTTAATGATGTTAGAGATGCTTTATTCTCTGGCGGGACCTGAGTTAAGAGTCCCAGGGGAGACAGAGAGATAAGAAGAAAACTAATAATGTGCAGAGATCCAAAGGCTTGGACTGCATCAAAGGATCAGATTAGGGAAAGGGGAGGGAACAGGAGGATGAAAGGGAAGCAGAAAACATGGGCCTTTAGAAGAAAGAGCAATCAAACAGATAGGCCACCTCTGAGAAAGAACTGGAAGGCAAGAGACACAATAAAACACAATTGAGAAGGCAGAGTTCATTTGCAATCTTATGGAATAAATGCTTTCATGGTCTGAATAAAAAAAGGAAGTGGGAAAGTATTCAACAGACAGGTATGTGTATTTCCAAATTGTATTCCCCTTGCTGGAGACTTCATCCATCCATGGCGTGTGAACACAAATGGTAATCAGGCATAAAAACATGTAGGAAGGCTAAAAAACTGTATTTTTAGGACATGAAGAGCTTTATAAATGGGTATAATTTAACTTAATCAAATGGCAGCTTGTCAGGAACTTATGCAGTATCACTGTTTGTCATGGCCTTTAACCAACTCGCATAATCAAGTTAAGAAATGTAATACTGAGGCTACATAATTGACATAACTGAGGCTCCATGTTTTCATGCACTGCCAACACCTGGTTATGTCAATTTTTCCCATTTATCTGGTTCCAGGTCACAAGGCAACCATAAGAGCTGAAACCATCCCAAGCACTACCAGCTTTAAAACACACTCTTCACATTAAGGCATGCAAAATTGACAAGAAAAACTCCTAATGTTGTGGAAAGTTAGCTTTGGATGTAATATTAATAAGCTTTACCCCGTAATGTGTGAAAGTCACGGTACTATGCTGATAGCTGGCATACTAATGTCTGGTCTTGGCATGCTTTGCTCCTCCTGTGACCTATCTGGGTGGAAGCCATTGGCTTGGCTATCCTTTGAAATGGGACTGTCCAGTGCTGAAGAGAGCTGTGTTTAGACGGATCAACCCCAGCTGATCTCACCAGCTCATGTTTAATTTTAAACTGCTCTTAAATACTAACTTCAGCTTGCATCTGATAGTTCCTTTGACATTTTATATGTTTTCAGTTATGGTGCATTTGATTGATGTTATCTGTCTTTGTTTCATTTTAAAAATTGAAGTTTTTAGGCAGTAAAGTCAGTGGGGCTGTAACACCATATGTGATCCCTGCTGCAGCAGGGCCAGGTGGGCAGAGTGCCAGCAGGGAGCATAATGGGTATATCCCTGAGGATTTCTCAGCCTTCCCTACCACTGATGCTCTGTCTTCTCCTTTCATGTGACGTAAAAACTCAGATACAGTTAAACAATTGTGAACACCCTTTAACAATCAGTTGCATTAAACTCTCCGTCTCAATTTCCCTGTTTAGCCATACACTGCCTTGGCAATTATGTAAAAATCCACTGATCGTTTAAAGACATCCCCTTTTTCCTTTCAGTTTTGGCTCTGAACCAGGTGCTGGTCATTTAAAAACATTTTTATGTTCAAGCGAGATAGTTTGGATAGATTTTAGATTCACTTTCTGTAATAAGTAAAAATTCTTTTTGATCTTTTTCACTATTTCTTCCACCTTGACTAAAACCATAATACCACCTGAAGACAAACATCATTATGAGTTCCACCAGGAGTGTGTTGATCATTGGTTGTGTGTATTGGTCAGGATGTCCTTGTGATTAAAGTTTAGGGAATGCCCAGTGGTGATGTTTTTCATACTGTTGCCTCGTGGCAAAATGATCTCTGGGTTAAACCCCCTACCTGGGGTATTTCGGCATTAGGGGTGTAAATCACATCCATCATGGCGATTCGATTCAGTATCGATTTCCTGATCCAATGATTCGATTATTTTCGATACTCAAGAATACACCACGATACGATTCGATTCGAATAATCGGGTAATCGGTTAATTATTATTATTATTTTTTTTTTTTTTACACCTTACAGGCTAAACAAAGTTTCAAGTTTGAAATAAATCAATGAAAGCTGTAATATCGTTATGCATTTTTTTTTAGAAACAAAAGCAAATAACGGAAGTAGAAAAGTTGCATCAAAAGATACTGCAAAAATGCTGCAGAAAATCAGTGCAATGAGTGCAATTCAATACCTCGGCTCCAGACGTCCCCGCCCCCTTGAGAGACGCTCCGCTGCACCTCTACCAAATTGTAGCTGACCGTAAACAGTGCCGCAGACAGGAGGCCAGCTTGTTTTGTTTTTATGACCGAAATTGCGGAAAACAACTCGTGAAGTTTGACCCGCTAGAAGAGCGAGGTGCGCGAGAACGCTGGGACCCTTTTTCCACCTGGATCTCCTCTCTTTTTGGCCCTCATGTCCCTCCGTCGTCGGACTAAACTCGCCCCCACTTCCTCCCCGCCTCGGCCGTATCTAGACACACAGTGTGTAGCATAGACCACGCTTCAATATTGAGCATAATTTAAAAAAGTCTGTGTCAAGCTTATTGCAACACACTGCTGTAAGAGTATAACCAGGAAGCGCAGTAGGAGGGCAAAATAGGTTTAGCGCCACCGCAGTACGGGAGGGAGAATTACGCCCAGGAGCAAATGGATAAAAATATACCCGAGGGAAAAAAAAACATGAATCGATTCTCTTGCGGACGTGTTGATGCATCGGATCGTTGGCTGTTGGGTTGATGCATCGATACAAAACGATTATTATTTACACCCCTATTCGGCATGGTAGTTGGGTGAACTCCATGTCCTTGCATTGGTTATCTTCAGGTACCTTGGTTTCCTTCAACAATCCGTAAACACGACTTTGTTAGGTTGATTAATGTCTATAGATTGAGTGTTGTGAGTTTGCGTCCATTGTTGTTGTCATCATTTGTTCCTGTTTCAAATGATGACTTGTTGAAGATGTACCTTGTCTTTTGACCGAAGATTTTATGAATCCTGGATACAAGGCCTCCTGTGACCCTGACAGAAAATGGACTGATAGATCCATAAATGTGGTGTTTTTTTTTTGTTTTCTTCTATTTTACCTTTTGGTATATACCTTTATACTTCTATTTATTTAAGTATTTATTCTTTTAAGAGCTTGAAAAACACTTTTTTTCACCCAATTAATAAGTTCAACCACAGACTGTTGGGGGGGTTATATTATGTGCAGTACTGTTTTTGTTTTACTTAGAAACTTTGGTCTTATGAGACTTTACCACAGTCGTAACTAACGGTCTTTTTAGCCATATCTGCTTTGTTTTGGATCTTAAAAGCTTCTTTTTTATTCCCCAAACAGATCTGTTTTGGGTGGATTTTTCTTTTTAAATAAATCTTACAGTACATTTCAATAAAAAATGTTGAAATTATTATCATTTTTTTATTTCACAAGATAGAATTTTCCCTCTGTAATACACTACCTTTCAATAAATGTAAATAAGAGTGATGCAAATAAATGTGCTCCATATAATCCCCTCTCTCTCTATGACCGATTGCATTAAACACCATGAATAGAGCGAGAGTTTAAGGTTTTGGTCAACAGCACTTCTGTAGAAGTGCTTCACAATCCTAAAGTGCCAGCCCTGTGTTCAGGAGAGCCATTAGCACAGGTTCAACTACAATGATGAATACCGCTGGTGTGACGCTGTCGCATTGTGTGCTTAGGAAAGAGGGACTCTGATGAGAGCTTACGGATGACACACCTGCTTGCAAAGAAGGGTTGAGATAACAACTCTATCCTCCCTGTCAAGGAGACATCTGGCTTTGCCATGGTGTTGCAACCTGAAATATACCCAGGAGTGGTTAATGAGGCATAGGAGACACGGTTTGTGATGTGTGCTGTTAGATTTGTGTGTGTATTTTTGATGTGTTTTTTTTTTTTCTTGCATTCGCCTCGAAGCAAGCTATGTTTAGAACTCGACCACAGACCCTGTTCTTTGTGCCTCATAAGCAGTGCCAAAGCCATTAGAGAAGAGAAATTGAAGCTTTTTATAATACAATCAACTTTAGATTGGTGCTTATAGAACTATTAGAGAAATTTGAAAGGCCATTTAAATTGTGTAACATCTCCTAAGCCAACATACTCCTTAATGGCTGTGTGGAATATAATTCAGATCTCTATCTCTTTTTTTATTTGCTCTTTTGTTAATGGCTAATTTGCAGCGTTTTCTGCTCTTGACCAAATTTAGACTCAATGCTTTTGTTTTATTAGTTTAGAGCAGGTAGTACATGTTCAGCCACATAGAAATAGAAGATATAGAGGCATATTCAGCTGTGGAGAACAATTGCTCTAATGTATAGTTTGTGTCATCAAAAGGCTCAAATTTACTTCTTAGGTTTGATAAGAAGTAAAATATCTATCATAATGCTTTTAGTTATGTTTCCGAAATGGGGATCAGAATAAAATAATTTGGATTAAAGGGTAAGAAAGTCTGCATTAGATTCTTTAAAGTAACTTTTCATTCATTTAATTAGTTATGATTCAACTTCAATGAATTTTATCACTTAGAGTTTTTATTTCTGTATGAAATTTCATTTTTAATCAAGCCATGGTATAAATGTAAGACAGATATTGATTCATTCCAGTTACAGTTTTTTCATCTATTTGTATATTAAGCTCTACCTTTTTGTTTTTTTTTCTGTTTCAGGTAATCTCTGCCCTGTCAAGGATCTCCCAGCACAGCATTTCACAAATCAAAGGCATCAGGTATGCGTGCAACACACAAACCACTCATTTATCACTCCAGCCACTCAAGACACTCCAAGAATATCAATTCAAGAAAAAAAAAAGTCATTTGAATAAAAACTGTTCCCTATTTTCTTCATAGGCAGTCTTTTGAAATGGATGATGCTATTAACATCTGCAGCTCGTTTAAAAGTCAATTTACATTTTAGGCAATTAGCTGCAGCTTTTGTTGGCATTATCTTGCAGTGCGGGAAAAATAATCCACAATGCATTTCCATCTGTCACTCAAATTGGTTCCTGCGTCATTCTGAGTCAGATCTGTTATTAAATGCATAAGTAGTCATTTTTCAGGCAGGATCCTCCCTTCTTTTGCTAGTTTGGCCTTCTGATCTCTTAATTTGCTCCTTGGAGTTTGGTGGCTCACAGGCGCCATGTGAAAAGCCAATTTATCTGCCTTAGTAATAAGTTGATAGTGTACGCTCAGGAGAAGCTGTGCCAGGAAATGAAAAGAGAAAATAAAATGGGTAGTGGACAAAAGAGAGAGCAGGCCTGTTGTTATCAGTAAAGACAGACAAAACATGCCGACTATTTCTTTAATACTTGTAGTGCAGCCAGGTGTAGAAATCGATATTGAAAGGTTCACCATGATATGTAGTAATTCTACAGAATAAGCCTTACTTTCACCTTTAATTCCACTCTACATATGCTATACTCATTGTTTTTATTACAGCACACCAGTGTGCCCTGCGGACCACTTGGTCTTCCTCAGTGTCCCGAAATGACACAAAATCCCTTCAAACAAATAAGCCTTATATTAATATTTAAAGTCAACCCACAGCAGGCTTTAGTTTGCTTCAGAAGGTTACTATTGGCATCATGGGTGGGTCAGAACCAAACAAGGGGTCAATGCTGCAGTAGGCTGAATATATTTACTTTATGTAATAGACTAACCCAGAGTAGTGCCTTACTGTAGAAGAGAAAGGATATGTTCAATTTGCATCAAAAAATCCTTACGTTTTCATCTCCAAATTTTTGTGCTAATCTTTGGTGGAATATATCTACACCCTTTGCACACATGGAGCTTAAAATGTTGCCTAACTTTCTGCTCATTCCTTTATCCAACTTCAGTCTCACTCTTTAAAAAGCTTTGATCCAAACTAGGACTGCAGCAGTTGATTATTTTAGTAGTCAGTCAATCAATCAATCTTTCAGTTATTATTCCGATTAATCTTAAATGAGACACTTTTGATAAATGAACATTTAAAATAAAATAAAAAATTGGAGTTCCTAAATTACAAAAAAAGAGTAACACATTGTAAATAAATTGTACATGACAAAAATGTATCAAAAATATGCTTACATATCCATGAGGATATATAATCTTCGAGTGTTTTGTCTTAATTATTGTTCTAAGTGGGTTATTATTTAAGCAAATAGCATGCTTTAGAATCTTTAGTCTAGATAATGATATAATTTGATTACTAAATCATTTGACAACTATTTCCTCCTTCATCCAAACCTTAACCATGTAGCTCTGTTCATGCTTAGTCTAACTGGGCTGCAGGAAGGTCAACCTGCTACCTGGACAAGGGTTTTCTATAAAGATTTTATTTTATTTAGCTTTAACTCACCAAATTTGTATAAATTCTGATTAGTTTTTCTGTCCCTTCTGGAAAAAAAAGAGCATTTCCACGGCATTGCCCTGCCACTGCCGTGCTTCACTATGGGGTATTGTGATCCAAGCAATCTGTTTCTCATTTTTCTGACACCCCCTTTGCCTTTTGGTCATAAAATTCTAGTTTCTTTCTCATCTGAGGAAAATCCAAATATGTTTTTCAATGAGTTTCTTTAAACAGGGACTCTTTGCCAATCCTCTATAGAAATTATTTTTTTAAATCATTTTTCCTGATCAAACCATTTTTTATTTGTTGTTGTTTTGTTTTTTTATTTACATTTTGGCTGTCCCTCCCACTGTAATACATTGAAGGTTGTTGTAATGTGGCAAAACCTAAGTTCAGAAATGTAAGAAAACTTTTGGTAAGGCATTGCAGAGGTCTATTTTTTTAATTTAAAAACGTCAGAGTCTCACAAGTTACATCATAGTCAGTTGCCATGGCAAGTTTATTTTTCATCTTCTACCTATTGAATAGCACATTGAATTCTGTGGTGTACCCAAGGAGCGCTGTTAAAATTATAAAAAGAGTATTCCTCTGTTAAAAGAAACCAAAATAAAGTAAATGCTTTTCATAGTTGCCAACTGTTGCAAGAGACACATTCTGTCAGCAGTGCTGCACCTCAACAGGCCTTCCTGCTGTATATGATGGAATGATTAGTTGCACCAAAAAAAAAAAAAAAAAAAAAAAGATTTTAGATTCGGGTCATTGAAACAGGTTATTCAATTTGAATCTTTTGGAGGGAGGAAACATAAAAATAGCCTTTCCTGTTCTCAATCACAAAGATAAAACTAAAGAGTGTCCTGAGCCCCACCCACACTTAAAGGAATAGTACACCCAAAACATGATTAGCCTTCATTTTCTACTCACCCCCATGCTGAACAACACTCTGGAGTACTTTTTTGATATCTCAAATGCATCTGGAGATCTGGGAGGCTTCTTGCTGTCTGCTGACATTCAAATAATGGAGGTCTAATAATAATGGCGCCCGAGGCAGAAAGGTCCATAAAAGTCCACAAAAACGTGTCAATATTCACGCATACTGCTCGTCCAATGTATTCCAAGTGTCCTGAGTGGGTAGCATCCAGAATTTACTCGAAACAAAGTCATTTAGAATGTTTTTAGAGCATAAACAGTAGTGTATAGGATTTCCTGAAAGTGCGCGCATGCAAGTTCACGACGCTACGGAAACCGCGGCAGACCAAACCAGATGAAAGTGCGCATTCAGCTCGGCAAAGAACTCATGCTCTTCCTCAACACTGAAGTCCTCAGACATTTTTCTTTCGTTGTTTCTTTCTTTGCACAGGTAAACAGCACATTTCTTCTTCTACGCTTGCATTATCGGCAGAGCAGACGCTGAATGCGCACTTTCATCTGGTTTGGTCTGCCGGCTTCCGTAGCGTCGTGAACGTGCGGGCGCGCGCTTTCAGGAAATCCTATACACTACTGTTTATGCTCTAAAAACATTCTAAATGACTTCGTTTCGAGTAAATTCTGGATGCTACCCACTCAGGACACTTGGAATACATTGGACAAGCAGTATGGAGGAATATTGACACGTTTTTTTGTGGACTTTTATGGACCTTTCTGCCTCGGGCGCCATAGACCTCCATTATTTGAATGTCAGCAGACAGCAAGAAGCCTCCCAGATCTCCAGATGCATTTGAGATATCAAAAAAGTACTCCAGAGTGTTGTTCAGCATGGGGGTGAGTAGAAAATGAAGGCTAATCATGTTTTGGGTGTACTATTCCTTTAAGGTGGAACTTAGCAACTTGAGCTTTTCACCTACAAGCACTCCAACTGGAAACAATGGAGAAATATATGTATATATATGAGAGGTTGTGCTGGCTGCATTCCTGTTTGAAACCTAAAAAATGAAGAGAGAACAATTATTTTTAAAGATAATCCATACCTAATCTCCATCAACTAGAAATGGGAAACACTCCTGAGGCACTCCTGAGGTCTGAGGACCCATAAAGTGCTTTAAACTACATTCAGTCATTCACCCATTTACACTAAGCTACAATTTAGACACAGAATTTAAAAACATTTTGGCTTATTTCTTATTTGGAGTGTTAACATAATGCTAAGTAAGCTCACAGCGTTTGTCGGGACTTGAGTTTTTCCCCCCCAAGAAACTTAAAAGATCTTGTCCATCCCTGCAGAGCAGAGGTCAAACGTTGATGTAAAGCTTTCAAATATTTACCTTCACACCAGACAGAAAGCCAAGCTTTAAGTTTAAACATTTTAAAATCAGTGAATGTAATCGCCTCAGGCCTTATGATTGATCTTTTCTGTGCAACGCTTTTGGGCCTTGTTAACACGCTGCAGCTCATCCCTGTAATGTAGGTTAATGTAAGTGCTTTTTCCTCTGGTTTAAGATGCCTTTTTATGTAAAATCTGTTTCATCTGCTTTTTGGTGATTTGTATTTGCTCAATTTAAATGAGTCTTATTTCATGTCCTCAAACCATCCACCTTATTTAGTACAGATGAGTCCAAAGTGGTACATAGTCACTTTATAATGATCCTTCTCCACTCAAGTGACTGATAAAAAGCAGAAGTCTGAATCATATTGAAAAGGGGTTTTTAGATTGTTAGATGATGCAGAATGCTTAAAAATCTCATAAAATTATTGTACCAATTATTATTTTGTCTTTTTTTTTTTTTTTACCATTTTAAACAACCTGATTCTATTAAATAAAAATATATAAATAAAAACACAAAATTTTAAAATCTGATCTTTTAAGATCTCATTAACCTTGGCATTTCTACCTCAGGCACTTTTCCTAGTTGACCTCATGTTTATCCATCTCCCCCACAGTATAAGCCTGTGTCACTTATTATTCATCCTCTTTCCTGCTCATGATCTTTGCTGTCCTCAGCAAACCCCATTTTAACCCTCACCCCGTCCTTCCTACCTCCTCGCTGATCCTTGCAGCTTCTCCTTGTGATCAGGGCTCTGACCTCAGCTTTAGCAACATGATACGGGACACCTGAGGGTTTGGTGTTTTTCAAGGTGTCATAGACACACAGTTCAAAAGTCAACAAATGAGACGATGCAGGTATGGGATTTGTTGATGCTCTTTCACTGAAGTACAGCAAAAAATAAATAAATAAAAAGATAGTAGCTTTTATATACTTCTAACCCACAAGTTATAACAGGAATAATACTTGTAATACGTGTAATAAATCTATTGAGAAATCTGTGGATGGATTAGACTGAGACGAAGACAGATAATACTTAGTGGCAGTCCCTAAAGGGGAAAAGAAAGGAGATAAAATAATAATATAAATAAGGAAGAAGAACAGGGACAAAGACGAGGATTTATAAAACTAATGTGAAGAA